CCTGAACCCTAAACCCCCCAACCCCAAAACCCCAAAACCCCTCAACCCTAAACTCCAAACACTTAAACCCCAAAACCCAAAAGACATTAAACACTAAACCTTAAACCTTAAACCCCAAGCCCAAAACCCACAAAGCCCCACCTTGGCGAAAGGCTGGAAGAACCGGCTGCCACGGGCGTGAGGTGAACTCAGCTCTGTTAGCATAATTATGATTATAGTCCCCCTTGAGTAGGATAGAATATGGGGTATATGGGGATCCTATTATAATATACCCAAAGCCATATTCTATCTACTTAAGGGAGACTATAGGTTCTAGGGGTTTCTAGGGTTTAGGGTTTAAGGGTTTAGGGTTTAGGGTCAGGGTTCAGGGTTTGGGTTATTGCTCTTCTCCATGATCCTCTCGCAACCCCTGTATATTACCCAGGAATTATTTCCTTCTAGGGAACACTAATGTTTCGCAACATCCTCGCTTTGTCCGATCCGTTTCTGGCTTCCTGGGAGGCTGCACTTCTGAATAGCACTTGGAGATTCATCGGATGTACTGATTCCATTTGGTGCTATAAGCCCTTCATATGTTCGCGGGGTAATCTATGTTAGGCAGGTTCATGCTTGTGGTTTCGGTGAATGTGCATAAAGTTCCTTACTTACTAGGGAATATGGGAATATAGAATATCGGCATTATATTCCCTTATTCAGTACTAACAACCAGTAAAAGCTAATACGTAGTGATGACTGTCCACGTGGAGTGTCGGGTGCCGCGAGCACGGTCGCTATGTACAGGAAGTGATTTTTGTCTGAAGTTGGAACAATACTGTGGTCCATCCATGTTGCGGGATCTAATATGTGCCCTCTATGTCATGTACCCTTGAGGGCTCCGCGGACCTTAAACCATAACCTTAGGCCCGAAATTCCGTAGGTAGACACCTATTGTTATAGTGTTTCATACATGCTTAGGTTGTTCCTTGAAACTTTAACCCTGAACCCTGAGCCCTTAAACCCTGAACCTTTAAACCCAGTTAGACCTTAAATCCTAGCATGACCTTGCACGGAGGCTGTGCGAAAAGTGCCGCATGCGCCCAGCAGCAGCGCTTCTCACTCAGGACCACTGCCGTGATTCTCTGGTTAGGAAGGAGATAGCAGGCTTGAGAGAAGACTATGATTACTTTAGGGTGTTTAGGGTTTAGAATTTAGGGTTTAGGGTTTAGGATTACTTGCAAATCACTGCCCAGCATGTAAGATGAGCACTTTTGTTTGGAGACTTCAAGCAGGAAGGCAAGTGGAGTCTCCGCCAAACAAAGAAGTGCCAAGAATTGAACAAATGTGTTCGAGGAAATGAAGCAAATCAAGGATCAGGTGGCCAGAGTAATTAGGTGTTTGCAGTGTAGGGAAAAGGAGCGCGCTTGTTTAACAATGTGGGTGCGGTGGTTAAGGGTAGTTTCTGTCCAGGAGGTAACGTTGGGGCTTATGTGAGCTATAGTCTAAACTCCTTAAAGGGTGGTTATATAGGGTGTTATATAGGGGACTACTATAGGGCTTATTAAGGGGGATACTAGGAGTTTAGACTATAGCTTATGTAGAGATGGCAATCTTGCAAGCATTTTCGGTCAGATTTTTTGGGCACAGTTGCGTCACATTACTCGCAGTCCTCGCATGGCATCGGGAATATGGGTCCGATGAAGAGGAGTCATGAAATGTCTCTGAGGATACATGTTTTCCAAAATGCATCGGATACCATATCATGCGCTTTACTCCTGTTGGTGCTTCTGCTGCCAGTACGCACTGCTACGACCGACGCCTACTACGACTACGGCGACGACCACCGCTACTTCTACTGTTACCGCCAGCGTTACCGCTATTGCAGCTCCTGATGCCGCTGCTGCCGCTGCTGCTGGCAATCTGCGACTGGTGCTCCCCCCACTGTCACTGCACGCGACCACTACCACTGCTCCAGCAAGTACTGCAGGCTTGCAAGACATGGGCTACCATGTCTGAAGCCAGAAAAGGAATCGACTCCGCTCCTCCACAGGGCGCTGGATAGAACCACAAATCCGCGCCAGGTAGTACAGCTTTACACCAAGGCGTTGGCAAGGCAGGACAGAGCAGCCATGCAAGACTGATGGAGCAATCATGCTTGGCCCTTCATACCCTAATTGGGCTGCTCCGTATGTGGATCATTCACTGTCAGAGTTTTCGATCCCTTTGCCTCACCAATCTGTGAGTATGGCACCAAATTTTGGGATATGGGAGCTGGTTTTGGATGCTATCCATGCTTCAACTGTACAGATCATGCTTATCACGTTTCCATAAAAACTGGGGAAGGTGCGGGCCACGTGGACCCGAAAATTCCTGTTTGGGTTCGCTGCGAGCGTTAACAAGTCTTAGCTTCAGCAAAGTCTTGCCCTGGTAAATATGAAGCTTCAAGCTACCCCCCCTTCTTACTACCTCAAGTGGAGTAATGAAGGCGGGGTAGTATAGGGTTTCAGAAGGCAAGTTAGCCACAGCTGGCATCACAACAAAAGCCTGAAACCACAAATCCTAAACCCTGCACCCTCACCCTTAAACCCCATAAACCCCAATCAACCCTAACCCTTAACCCTAACCTTTAACCCTAAGCCCTAAACCCGTGGCTGGCCTTCGAGGAGTTGCTGGTTGCATGGCGCCACTGGCAGAAACAGCCGCCTGGCATGCATCAGGATCCGCTAACTCTGGGATTGATTGCTTGCTGAGAAAGGGTTTCGGGATTAGGGTTGAAGGTGTAGGGGTTAGAGTTTAGGGATTAGGGTTTTGGGGTTTCAGGGTTTAGGGCTTAAGGGTTTAGAGCTTAGGGGTTTAGGGCTTTAGGGTTTAGAGATTAGGGGTCAGGGTTTTAGGGTTCAGGGTTCATGACTGTAGGGTTAGGGCTTAGGGTTTTAGGGTTTAGAGTTTCGGGTTCAGGGCTTCAGGGTTTAGAGTTAGGGTTTTGGGGTCTAGGGGGCTTAGAGCTCACTAGCCAAGCAAAACCAGTGACTTCGGGCTATACTTTTGGTGGCTCCTCTGGCGGATATGGTAGTTTCCATGAATACGGTAGCGAACCCCAACATAGACCTCAACCTGCTATATTCTTCATAGGGACCCCCTGACAGGTGCTTTCCCATTTGATTCCCCGGGTGATGTCCTCAAATCCTAACCTAGAGGGTCCAAGGACCCAAATAATAGGGTCCCTTTAAAGGGGTTCTAGGGGGATATATGGGGATTACATGAGAGTCCAAGGACCCAAATAACAGGGTTTTAGGGCCCAAATACTATACCATGAATGGTATTTGGGCCCTAAAGCCCCATTATTTGGGTCCTTGGACGCTTAGGGTACACCTTAAGTTTTCTGGGAACCCCTCATATACACCCTTCAAAACAAGGCTTTTGCGCAACTTCTAGGACCCAAGTTAGGAAGGGAACTCTGTTGCGTACATGCTGTTGTCAAGTGACCATCCATGACTGCTGTCACACTGCCAGGGCAATTCCGGTATGTAGCAGGGCGCGAGGTAGCTCCAGATATTAGAGACTTGGCATCGCGGCCCAATCACAAAGGACCTGCTAGTCAGTCTGTCTTTGAGGCATACGCGTCGTATCTGTTTCACGTACTTTCGATCCAGGTAGGGACATATGTTGATATATGCTATGAGGCTGGAGATGGTTCAATGAGCAGTACTTGCACACGATGCATGGCCTTCTATCCTCAGTAGCCCACTGAGCTTTCCAATTTTTGAATTCCAAGAGTGACGTTGATTTCGGCCGTAAGCCCTAAACCCTGAACCTCAACCCTACAACCAAACCCTAGACAAACCTTTAGCTATAATCAGCTCTACGCCCCCAAGCCCTTAAACCCTCAACCCAGAGCCCTATCTAAACTCTGCCTTAATCTCAGTGCTTTCCAGAGAAAAGCGTCCAACTGCGCCAAACACCCATATAGATTTCATAAAAACTGACGAAAATCCATAACCCTAAGGCCTAACTAAGCTCCAAATCGCAGTTTTTTGTTGCGCGAGTTGTTTTTGTTAGGTTTTTTTTGGTGGGGAACGAGGAAACCCTAATCCAACTTACATTTCTTGCAGGAAGTCACCGAATAGCTGCGTTGGCCTTGAAGCATTTGGCCGATGTCTTGCAGAGGTGCGGGTGCAGGGGTGACGGGCTTAGGGATCAAGATGGGGGCTTATGCACTTACCGTACTTTGGCTGCCAGCTGACAGACGCTGCGCGGTTCAGACTGGGTGCTGTGGCTGCGTGCATCTCGCTTGTTTGTCACAGAATCCCTGGCCCTCGATGGCCTGATGCTCTTCCATTGTTGGCTGTTGCCAGCCGCAATTGTGAATCGAAGCGGTGCTGATGCTGCTGTCCTCGCCAGTAGTCCATCTTTGCCTGCCCCAAAATGTGAAACGAAGGGGCCCTGATGCTGCTGATGCTCGCCCGTTGTTGGCTTTTGCCTGCTGCCAAAGTGAAACGAAGGGGCCTTGATGCTGCTGATGCTCGCCCTGTGTCCGCCTTTGCCTACCCCAAAAGTAAAACGAAGAGGCGATGATGCTGCTGATGCTCGCCAGTAGTCCGCCTTTGCCTGCCTGAAAAGTGAAACGAAGGGTCCCTGATGCTGCTGATGCTCGCCCGTTGTTGGCCTTTGCGTGCTGCAAATGTGAAACGAAGGGGCCCTCATGCTGCTGATGCTCGCCCTGTGTCCGCCTTTGCCTACCCCTAAAGTAAAACGAAGGGGCGATGATGCTGCTGATGCTCGCCAGTGGTCCGCCTTTGCTTGCCCCAAAAAGAAAGCGAAGGGGCGCTGATGCTGCTGATGCTCCCCATTGTCCACCTGTAAGGGTCCCTGATGTTGCTGAAGTCCAAGGGGTTCCCCAGCACTAATATTTCCAACATACGGCGACGCCCAGTATTGACCCTTACTCAGTCGGAACAGATAGATGGCGCCTGTTGATCCAATAGCTTTGTACTTATGATCCGTGTATGTTGGAACACCTTGGGGATAAACCCTAAACCCTCAACCCTGAACTCTTCAAATGTATATAGTTTGGGTTCAAGGTGTACGAGTTCCGTCGGGAAGGGTCCAATCCCGCACAGCACCCTATGGCGCATATCTAAGTCCTAGGTTAAAAGCCTATCTAAATGTGCGTCGAACCATTCAGGCTCCAAAAGCTACAGCCCACGACCCCTACGCCGACCAGGAAAATTTCAACAATCAAATCTCAAAGATCTTGTCCCTAAGTCCGACATGCACTGGCATGCTAGTGTACGTCTATGCACGCCTGAACTCTAACCCAAAAAATTTAAACTCCACGTGAAAGTTCTCAACAAGAATTACATGTTTGGTCTACGCAGTCCAGAAAGGGAACCCCTGCAACCCTGATACCTCAGAAATGTTCTTGACCCGTGGCAGTTTACAAATTTACTATCTAGTCTTGGCCATTGACACTGGTCTCCGTCCCTTACTGTAGGGGCTCAAGTGATTGAAACAAGGATGCTTGTTCATCATGTCGTAGTTGAATAAGGATTCCTACTTTTGTTTAGCATTCCTGCGTTGACATTACCGCTGCAGCCGCGGCATAGCATAGCATTGAGGAGTAACATGCTTAAACCCTAAACCTAAGAAGCGCAATGAAGGCGGCTATCATGAGTGAGGGGCTTTCTGCACTCCACGCCCAAAGCCATCATTATTGTTATTTGCGCCATTTCGACAAATCTGCTGGTACTAGAACTAGTATTGCTAATGCTATTATTATCCTTATGCTTATTATTCCAATACTATTACTATGGTTCTTACTTTTACTATTACGATTGCTACTACGATTATTATGGCTCTTATTATTCCTACTCCTATTCCTAGTACTATTGATATTACAATGGTTATTGCCTTGAAGGAGCCCGGGATTCCTGTAGCATCCAGAGAATGTTAGGTTAGCAGACTAATCATGGAACTGAGTTGGTGCTGAGGAGCTGAAAGTGGGTTTTACCATGGTGTTGGTGACGGTTTAGGGTTTAGGGTTTAGGGCTCAAGTTACCAGAGCATGGACATATAGTAAAAAGAAGGGTGTCTTTAACAGCAACCCCCGGAAATGCGCGTCACTTTGCCATAGGTAGCCAGTACGGCAAGGACCGCACATGAGGTGGGATGCTTCATGGCTTTCCTTTGGAGTTTGGAGCTCAGGCTCTTTACGGTTAATACCCTAAGCCCTAAACATCCCTAAGCCCTACATCCTTAAAGGCTGCGGCTTTGGGGTTTGGAGTGGTAGGTGTTTGTTACCTGGACCCCAAAACTATGTAAAATAATGGTCCGTTTGGCTGTTATTATGGGTTGAGCGCTATTCTCTCACATACTTTTGGGGTTTAGGTAGCCCTAAAGCATAGCATAGCCTCGGGCTTTGTTCTCCTCCTCAACCTTCATTCTTCGAGATGAACATTTCGTTAAGATAGCCCTGGGGGAGATTTGAGGAGAAGTACTGGGTTTTAAGGAACTTGATCTAAGTTACCCCAATATGGGTACATAGTAATAGCAGGGCTTCCTTAACTTAGTTTAAGGTACTTAGCGCAGCAACCCAGACAAGGGATGCCGAATCGGGCAACATTGCTTGCAGGCTGGAAGTAGGGAATAAAGGCATGAAAAAGAAACCACAAACTACACAATTCTAATTATTGGGGAGTTTTTCGGGCTACTATAAAGGTTCTGCCGTCTGTTTAACAACTAGTGAGATCAGTCTACCTCCCGCTTCTCCCACGAAACTATGATGGGATTTTAGGGTGAAGGGCGAATGTACGGTATAGGGTTGAGGGTTTTGGGTTAACGGCCAAAACAGTTACAAATATCATGATCCTAGATTCCTCGTATGATTATGATGAAGGGTGCCTCAAGCAAACCTCGAAATTATGATCATTTAGGTGGGATAGGGATACCATAGATGTTGGGTCAAAGGATGGAATTTTACCATCTGGAACTGCATCTGAGTTGCATCCCGGACAGCAGACAAGCAGGATTGCGAGAGGCACAGGGCATGCCTTCGCTAGCAATGCGAACTGTGTTCCATCAATTGAGTCGCAGGAAGTTGTAGAATTTTCGCGAAGATGAGATGACCAAAATGAGAATGCTTGGGTGAAGGCTCCCTGCAAGACTGCGTAGCAGATGACTTATGGTACCTAATAATATGGGGTTTAGGGCCCTATAATGGAAAATCAAATTAAAAAGAGAATGGAACATGAAATGGAAACTGGGGTTATATAGGGGTTATTTGTGTAGTATTTTATTCTGCGGTACGACCTGAGGACGCCGCCCCTTGAAATGCATCTTCGGGCTCCGGTGTTTGATGATTTGCAGAAGATCAGACCCGTGAGAGAAATACGTCACGGCCATGAGGTTTCCTTTCTGGGGCTTAGTAGGGAATAAGGAAACATATTATATAGCAATTATATAGTGAGTATACTCCCTTATGCCCTACTAAGCCCCAGTAAGTTTCGGGCTGATTCAAACCCCATCCAGGTGGCTGTCCGTCTTCTCAGACAAGCAAAGCAAAGACACTGCGTCACAAGCAGCGGGACAGGTATAGCCAGCTGGTGAGGCCAAACCCAGCAAACTTCCAGGCCGTGTCCAACGAGCCTTTGTTTCAGTGCCCATGGTGCCGAGAAACCAGCCTGAGGTGGGACTTCTTCTACTCTCGAAGGCACTCTCAGCGTCTCCTATGGGCGAGGTGCCAGGCCTACGATCGCACACTGCAGGCCTTCTCTTGCAAGCTCTGTGTGTACCATCCAAGGAACTTGGCTATGATCAGGCGAAGCAGCGAAGGCGCATTGATCGTGTTGAAATGAGTACTTGCTGAGCAGCCAACGCAACGAAGCTATCAGCTTGTAGGTCTAGGCCTTTTGCAGGTATTGCGTAGAGTACTGCTGCGGGCGCCAGGACCTACGGTAGATATTTACTCAATATCTGCAAGACCGAAGCCATCAGAAGATCGTGATAATTCCCAAGTCATACAGTACTGCAGAAACATATACCGGCGTAGCGTTTGCATCAACAACCTGCATTACATGACCTCAATCGTCGAACCCTCCGCAGTCATCTCCTGACCGATGTGCACATCCTGCAGAACCCCGCATAAACACAAGATAAACGTGCAACATATATCAACGTTTAAGAATTTTGACTCCCTCTGCCACCTATGATCCCCGCCTCAGTCCGGGAATACAGATGCCCATCCCTAGACTACGCTGAAGCCTTTGAAGGTTCTTCACCTACCTTTGAATAAGGGCTTTGTCCATGGCATCTTCTGGGGAGATTGGCGGATTGGGGGATAAGGAACCGATTTTGAGATGATAGCGACTCCCCGAACAAGAAGGCCGCGTCTTGCATGTTTCCCGGCAGAGGCCCCTTGACAAAGCCTCAAAGCGCTTAACTTTCAATCTCGCTTCTGGCTCTACCCCTAAACCCTAAACCCTACGAGGGTAGTGGGCCCTAAACCTTCCAATATCTACTCTTCCGAAGCTTCTGGAGCCCAGACCTAAACCCTGAGTTCCCTTTTGAGGAGGTTTTGTTGCGGGGGGCATTCATTATGGGAACCAAAATAGAGTAAGATTGGATTCTGCTTATTGTTGTGGCATATCACCACTACGATCATTGTTACTAGTGCTGTTACATTCACAGTCGACCTCCCTTCGATGTTACTTACCGGGGGTCAGTAGGGAATAAGGGAGCAAATTCAATAGTTAATCCTAATGCAAAGAAAATCCCTTCTTCCCTAAACCCTAAATCTAAACCCGAAATCCTAAACCCTAAATCCTGAACCCTCAGTTCTACACCCTAAGCCCTAAACTCTTACTCCATACCAACCTCCCAGTAATGGGAGCAGGTAGTGGGCTTGGACAGTCAGAGCGCTTTGGCTGCCGCCCTGAAGCCGTTTGACAGGCAAGCCTCCCTTGGGTTGAGGATTTAGGGTTTAGGATTTAGGGTTTGGGATTTAAGGTGTAGGGTTTCGGGTTAAGGGTTGAGGATTTAGGGTTTAGGATTTAGGGTTTAGGATTTAGGGTGTAGTACTTAGGGTTTAGGATTTAGGGTTTAGGATTTAAGATTTAGGGTGTAGGGTTTAGGACGTATGGTTTAGGATTTAGGTTTTAGGGTTTAGGGTTTAAGGCAAGGTTTGAGGGATCTGGGTTTGTAGAGTTGAGGGCTGTTACGTAGGGTCCAGGGGAATTCCAGTTTGAAATTGAGGGTTTTGCGGTTGAGGTTTGGGGCCTGAAGTTTGAGGTTCAGGGTCTGCAGGCTTGGGATTGCCCATTCTTAATTTATGAAGGGGTTTAGGGGTTTAGGGTTTAGCGGTTTAGGGTTTATGGCTAACTTTCAATTTCACTTTGTCCCCCATGGGTTTTGAGGGGGAGCAATGCACATCGCAACTGGGTCGTTACCCGGCTACCAGGTCTGGAAAAACACACATCAGTGTCCTCATGCTATGGTCGAATCCATTTTGTCTGGGCGTGAGGCTAGGTTTTTGCGGGGTGATCATCGCGCGGACTTAGGCCAAGAAGGGTCGCATCACTTTAAGCAAAGATGAGCAGCTGACAGAGTTCCTGCTCAGAGTTTGCCAGACGGCTTGCACCACAGACCCAGCAAAGTTGAAACAGCTATGCAAGCGAGAGCGTGCGATATGGGCTCCCACAAAGGGTGAGCAGGCCGGCCTACTTGGTTTAACGCCTCTCGCTCAACATGACGAGCGGGGCCGAACTTCTCGGCAATCTGCCTGGTTCCAGGTGATCGAAGCAGATCTGTGGCCTCACGGGCGATGACGCTGAGAACGGTCGTGCAAGCGAGGGGCTGGCGCCCGGTGAGTCGCTTCTGACAGCCCAGCAAAGACGAAACCCTGAAAGTTTTTTGCAAGACTGGTGCTGCCACGTTGGAGCTGTATGTTGCGCTGCTGATTTTGCGGGGTGACGGTTGCCGAGGTCCACATTGGATACTTGTTTCAATATGTTTTCATTTCTCCTTGGGGGAAGGCGCTGATAGTCCTGTATACTCGTGAAGCCGTTGTCCCAGGCGTTGGAGACACCGAATCCTATCAGTCAGCCATCAAACCTGAAGCCGTATACGAAGTCCTCTACATCCCAAAGCCGTGAGCCCCACCCCACCTAAGCCTACGAGCCCGGAAAAGGTTGCAGGGCCCACCCCGGGGAGCCTCCGTGACGCCTGGGCCTTGGGCACCGGACTCAAGTCAATTCAAGGCTATGCTTGGACAACTCATGTTTTGGCAAATTGTCTCGTGGCATATTGATTGCTTGGAATCTGGGTTTCAGCGAGTGTGCGGTTTTGGGGCTAAGTGGGTTAAGGCCGGGTTTTTGGTTAAGGCTTGTTGTTGAACTTCAATCCAGAAAAGAGATTCCACGATGCTGTTCGTTTCCGAGCAACAGGACAAGAATCACCAAAGAGGATCCCTTCCGAAGACATCCATTACTGATACGCCGTAGGGTGCTTGAAAGCGCACCGGTCCCGGAATGGTGTTGGCGCCTTCGTCTTGGAACCTTGTTCCTTACACTTTGTCTTCAATCATCATATACATTGCCAGGAAGTTACTTTTCATATAGGTGGTGGAAGTTTTCGTTACCAGCGGGGAGGATCATTTTTCCATCTGCGAGTTGATAGCATCATGCTATATCAAGGATACGCCATACGATGATGCCACAGGTAGCGGTAGAGACAACATAGTCATAAGTGTGTAGTATCCCATTGGCCGTCGTAGCTATTGTGAAAGACAGCATTGGTGCATCGCAAAATACCTACTGAGGTGATGCCAAAGAGTAGTAAGCGTCTTCAGCTATCGCAATGAAACACTTTGGGTTTCCGTTCGTATACCAGACATGCTTATGACACACTTAGAAAGGTTTCTGCTTTCTCAGACAGGGCTACGTGGGCTTATGTAATTTCCGGGGTGGGTAAGCACTACGGAGCCTTAATCGTGGAATCCTGAGCAAGGCAGGGTCTAGTGCAGGTAGAGATTTGGGCATTTGCCATGGACTCAAGACTTAAAATCCCAGTCAAATTCCATGTCGACCTTAACCACCGCATCATTGATTTGTCGCTGCCAAAAAAGGGGGGGTCCGCTTACAGACCCCAAATACCCGAGCCAGCATTTTAGGTACCCCACAACGTACCTTTGCTTTTGGGAAACCCCTAGGTACCGCAATATGAATTGAAGCAGTGCCAATCTTTGTCGCGGAAACAGATTAAGCGTAAAGAAGATGCTGAAACTTCCATCAGCTGCTTTCCATTCAAGGGAGCGCATCACAATTCTAGGTCGAGTCCCTCGCTGTCGCGCTACAACGTGAGAACGCCCGAGCGGTGCTCCAGCGCCTGCCTGAGCACGCTCCTGAGCCGCTTGCAGGAGCTCGCCTTGTCGCTCCCTAGTTTGTTGCTCCGCACACTGCCGCACTGCCTTGCCATGCTCCCTCTATCTCTCCCAGTCCCAGTCGCCGAGCCTTCACTTGCCGGGCCTGCCAGTTTCCGTTTGGCCAATCCCTTCCGCTCTAGCTCGTAGCGTGCAGTTCCCAGGCAAGGAGACGCTGGGTTTCCCTGAGTCCTTACCTGGACGCTACTGCGCCGGTCTCACGCTTTTAGTTGCTATCTAAGTAGCTGTAGCAGTAGGTCTTCTGCTGCGGATCTGATCAATTTACATTATCATGAGGTCAGTTTTTGTGGACGGTTTTGAACTGCGGACGAAGGTAAATAAAGGAAATTCGAATCCTAAATTTGCCTGTCGCAATAGGTTTTGTACAGCCTCTGGGTCCAGTGATGCAGAAGCGCATCACAAAGACTGCAAGCTATGAGAAGGCCTCAAGATCAACACATTCCATTTCAAACGTTCCACATGGTAATAGTTTCCCAAAATAAGGGGACCCCAACATAAACCCTACTCTATTAGAAGTATGGGGAGCCCGCAAAATCTACCCTAAATTTTGGGAAGCCTTCGAAATCCTATATAACACCTATGTTAGGAACCCCCACATGCCTAGGCCCGTGTCCCCCAACCTGATTGCCAAGGTTGCACGGTACCTCGCCACTTAGCAGCAAGAAGCCCTCCCTGATTTCAGGTTTAGGGATTAGGTATGGGGTTATACCTAGACCCTCCAACTACCCTCTATTTAGGCCTAAGTACCCATTATTAAGGGCTATATAACCCCAATTAAGGGTACTAGGAGGGTCCTGGTAGAGAGACATAGAAGAATTGAAAGCAAATGAAAAGGATGGTAGGGTCAAGTTTAGGGCCTGGAATTGGAAGCCGCCTGAAACATGCTGTGTTAACATGGATTCTTAGTTTCAGCTTCTAACGTCGGGATTTTCAGCCTGAAGCCCTAAACCATAAGGCCTAAGCCCTGAACCCTGAAAGGTTTTGGGCCTAAGGTCTCAACATCCTTGAAGGGGCCTGCTGACATAAAGCTCGGAAGGCCCCGTAGCTGTTAACTTGCAACATAAATGACCCAGAATGGGTAGATATACAAACATATAAGAGATTGCCTAGGGAGATACAGGAGACGTGCAGGAGCCAGATAGGGGTTCTGTATTGATGTTTAGGTTTACTGTATGCTTGCGGCATTTTGGCCATGCAGCCTACGTAAGAGGGAATGGCAGAATTCCGACTCCATGGTTGTTGCAACCACGCCGCGCCGCAACACCCGGAGAAAGTTGGTATAACGTAGAGGCAAGAAAAAATAGAAGCATAATAATCCCTCCACAACCATATTTGCAGCGTCTGCATAATTCGGTCTTAGACAACAGCCCGACTCACAGTACCTCCAGTTCAGCTGATGGCCACGGCTTCCTTGATTCAGTGGCCATCAAAATCGGGCGGGAAAGGTTTAGAGTGTGGCGTTTAGGCTCATGTCCCCTTCAGACAAGCCTTGTAACTTAGACGCGACCAATCATGGAAAATCTCTGAACACCGGATTCTAAAACCGCCCCCCAAATCCAGATCTGCTACAGCACTGAACCCTAAACCCTATATAGCCCATTATCGTCGTTTCTTTTTTACTTTCCATTATCCCAATATAGCCCCAATATTACCCCCAGCGTCAATTAACACAAGCATGTAACATCTGAGAAGTAGACATGGTAATGATGGTAAGAATGATAACGGGTCTTTTTTGGATATCCCAACCCCCGAAACAAGCACTCGATGGTTATCACATGATTCTGACAGAGTCCTTATTTTGGATGTTGTGGGATCCCAGCACCAGCTTATCCTGAAAGATGCAGTCCCTATGAACCCCTGCACAAACCCAGTTTCCACTTCATATTCCCTATGCCTATGCGTTTTGTTCATTGCTTCATGTTCTACTGAAACAGGCCCCTACATCCCTAAACCCCAGAACCTAATTACCATAGTAGCTTTCATTTTCCTGTTCATTCCCTAGTTTAAAGGCCTGAACTACAACCCTGAGCCTGAGACCCCAACTCCATAAACCCACCCATTGGACCTAAACCCTAAATTCAAAAATCCTATATGAGCTGTAATCTAAATTCCTTAAAGGGGGGTTATATAGGGGACTATATAGGGGACTACTATAGGGGTTGTTAAGGGGGATACTAGGAGTTTAGACAATGGTTCATATATTCCCTGTAAACCTTAAATAAGCCTTCAACCATCTTAAACCCTAAGCCTGAGTCCTTGATTCAAGGCCGGCCGAAGTAGCTGCTGAACTTGCTGGCGCAAAGGAATTCCGGTCCAGGCCCTCTTCGGTTGGGCTTTGGATTTAGGAGCCTTGGGTTAAGTCTTTCTAGATTCTAGATCATTGTTGTGGATGGTTTTCTTGTCAGTTAGCCCGTCTCAAACAATATGGGATATAAGTTCTAGTTGTCATTTTGAATAATGGTACATAATTGCTTATAATGAACTTTTTGCCGTTATTATGATAAGGAACCTATTTTACGCCTTGCCAGATCCCCGAGAAGGGGGTAGGGTTTTGAGATTCGGGTTTGGAGATATGGGCGCTCTGAAGCTTTTCTTGGGTGGATTTTGAGTTCAGGATTTCCCACTCATATCCTCAAGCCCAAAACCCTTAACCCTAATCCAGCAGCTCTTAAACTTCTTGGGACTTAGCTTGGGCCTTAGACCCTTAACCCTTTGGGGCTCCCTTATCTTCCCATTATAGGTACCTAAGGGTTAACTTTCAGTAGGAATCCTAATGAACTGTAAACTACCCCTCCTCGCCAGGGTAAACCCTAAACCCTAAACCCTAAGCCCTAAACCCTAAACCCTAGGCCTCCCAGCCCCAGGCCCGCCAGCATTTGCCCAAACCTTCCGGCTCACGTGCACCCAACTTACCTCCAGTATACAGGGATACATAGGGATGTTGCTCCATCATACCTTGGGTATATATGGGGGTTTATGGGGATATTATCTGAATAATGGAGAAGCATGTGGCACAGAAGCTGAACATGAAATGAGGACTGGATTTCTATAGGGTTTTTGTAAGGGTTTAGGGTTTAGGGGTTTAGGGTTTCTAGTTATGCAAATTTCTCATGGATAGCAGGGAATGAAAGAGCGGATCCTTGTAATGGTCCCTAGCTTGTCCAAGACTATGTTAGGTTCCGTGTTCTTTTGCATTCCCTGATTCCCCCCTAAACCCTAAACCCTGAACAATAAACCCTGAACACTAGAGAGAAACCACGGGATTGTTTGAAACTTTTTCTCATGGCCAATCTGAAGCCTCTGCAGGGCTTTGTCCCGCGCAGTTCAGGTTTAGGGTTCAGGGTTTCGGGCTGTGGGTACATGGAGTAGAAAGCTTGTAGATTTTGGCTTTGTCTGTTGGAACTGTGTCTACTGTTCAGGGTCGGCTAGTGTACCTCAAGTCGCAGAAGGCATGAACAAGACTGCAAGCCGGGTTCCAGTGATTGGATTCTTGGCCATTCGGACGTTTGCCTGTCAGTAGTTTAGTTATTGGCCCAACTAAGATTGCTTTTGGCTTGTCCTGCTAGCGATAACTTTGTACCTTCAACGGATGTGCGGATCGTTGTATCTTTGACAGATACCAATCCACAACCTCATGAAATGTGGGACACATCTACATGACTTCTAGGCATGTTCGGTTGTCGTGGGCAAATGTCTGTGGCTTATTGGGTTCTGTTTCAAACATACTGTAACATTCTTCCTAGCACGTTTTGTATCCGGAAGTTTCAGGAAATTCTCGCTGCCGTGTTGCCAGTGAGCCTTCGAAAGTCTCTTCGCATATCTAAGGTTCTTCGTAGTCTTCTCCTTGGGCCCGCACAACGTAACCATTTCCTGGGGTCAACATGCCATGGTAACCTGTGGAATAGAAGGCTCCCAGCAGTTTTCCTTTGTAATTAGGAGGCCAGGACTGATTCAATCTACTTAAGGGGGACTATGACTGCAATATATACCCTACAATATAGTAGTTTCCACTTTCTTTTCCATCAGCCCTTTATAACCCCAATATAAACCCTATAATGTAGTAGTTTCCATTCTCTTTTCCATTAGCCCTATATAACCCCAATATGAACCCCCTGACCCCTTTGCAATGTGCACTCCTGGCGTGGGGAAATGCAAAATAAAACCTAAACCCTAAACTCAAAATAAACAGTAGCGGTTTAGGGTTTAGGATAGTAGTTTCCAGCTTCTTTTCCATCATCCCAATATAACCCCCGTATAACCCCAAATAATCAAAAAGCACTGCACTGCCTCCTCTTCCTGTTGCTGCTGAAGCAGCGCCACCACTTGCTTGTTCCGGTGCTTGTCATTGTCCTGGCTCTCTTTTTGCTTCTAATGTAGACCCCTGATTAATAAACCCCTTCCCCTTCATAGGGACAATAATAGACATCCTAATATTAAGGCCCTTAAAAGGAGGGGGGTTATTAACCAGGGTCTACATTAGGCTTATAGACTTTGACAGCCGCTTTCACGGTCATGGTCTGGCCAGAGGCTGGAGGCTGCCGTGGGCACGGAGAGTGCTGCGACACTGCTGCGAGAGGACTCATCCGACAAGTGCACATCCCGCGGACACAGTCCCTAGAACACAAGGGATCCAAGTATACAAATAATGCCTACATTGGCTATGAATATTACCTACTTTGGGCTATTTGGATCCTAAAGCAAACCCCATAAACTACCCTCACCACTAGGCTCCTTCATGGTATTTCAATGTTCGGGAACCCCTATTTAGAACAAAAGGTAGGTGGTACTCTGCATTAGTCATAGTATGATATTTTGTGCGTGTAAAACATCTTCACAAATCTGGAGAAGAGCGTGAGCACACGTGTTTGTGCACGGGATAGTCAGGGCAATGGGAAAAGTAGAAACTGTAGGATGTAGAAACTTTTTGTATTCATGGTGTTCTTCATGGTAGTGACTGCAGGAAGGGTTTCCGGAGCCTCCAAGCCTTGAAACGCCGGAGCCCTGAACTTTAAACCCTGTAACTTCATCTAAGCTTCGTACCAGTAACCCGGATGTTGAGATACGTAGTATGTAGTATATTCCCAAAATAGGGGGATCTCCCATATAGACCCCAATATATTATAGTCCTCATTATGGGGATCTCCAAAATGGTACCCCTAAGATTAGGAAACCCCCATGTAGTAAGTACAGCATCGGTCGCTGCAACTGCTGTCCGATGACACTGTGTGTCGCCGCCGAGTTGTGGCTCCAGCCCGCTGCAGCGGGCGTTTCATGGCGTCAGAGCCGCGCAGACCGCATGAAGATGTTGTCATAACACCCATACTTGGGCGGGTACCTATAATAAGGATTATAGTATTTGGGGTCTGTACGGGGGTCCTCCTGCTTAGGGAAATTAATGTTTTGCATAACTTAGCTTAGGCTTCGAGAGGGTCTGCAAGACTAAGCTTAAGAAATCCCAAACAAAAAGCTCAGTACTGACAACTTTAAACCCTAAACCCTCAACCCTTCACCCTAAACCCTAAACCACCTTCAAACCCAAACCCAATTACCTGGCCATGCCCTCCACCATACCCAGACTCCTATACCCCACCCCTTTATTTAGGATCCCTAACTTTAAGTCCAGCATCTTCTACATACAAAATTGCTGGTACCCTACAGAAGGGTTTGGGCATAGCATGTCAGCTTTAAGCTTGCTTAGAACATTAGCAATCCAAGTAGCTTGCTCTCATTGTCCCTAAACCCCTAAGCCCGAAACCCCTAAACCCCAAACCCCTAAACAGTTAACCCCTGAACCCTTAACCCCTAAACTCTAAACCCCTAAACCCTAATCTTGTCATGTCGATTGAAGAATGCCTGACATGCCCCGTGGCATCCTGGAGGACGATGCTGGTTCAGGGTTTGGGGAGCTTAGTTTAGGGTTCTATCAGGGTTATATTGGGGTTATGAGGGTTATATAAGGGGTCTATTAGGGTTATATTGGGGCTCTATTGGGGTTATATTGGGATTATATTGGGGTTCTATTGGGGTTATATTGCGGTTTTTTTAGGGTTGAGGATTCAGGGGGTCCTCTTTTCCTCTTTTAATGTTGATTTCCTTAGAGCCAGAAGTGTTCCTTATGCCGAGATTCCCAGAATCTCAATCCCGAAAGCCCAGTACTAGCTCTAATCACCTAGCCCCAAGGAATACCGTTTGGGGGCATCTAGCTTAGGTGGTAGGCTTCTAAAGTTTGACGGATGTGTTTGATGGTTGGTGTGCAACCTCCTCGCAGGAAATCTTGCACCACCTAAAGTCCCTACAGTCCTCAGACGGTACAGAACTTAAGCGGCCCTAGGTATTCCGCCTATGATCACTGCAGATCTCGAAATCCCCGAAAGGCAACGTAGTTCCACAAACGCCTGTATGAAGTATTCACTCAGGGCATTCACTCAGGGCTGTCTTGTTTGGGTGTCATTGCTATCAGGCATCTTCTCCTTGGTTACAACAGCCTCGCAAAAGGGGCATCGCTTTTGACCTAATTATGGCCTGTGTTGCCAAATGTCTCACTGTTGTTAGCAGGGAGTGGGGGAATGGATCCCTCGGATAAAGTAGTAGTTACCGTTGTCTCTCCATGCTTCATTCCTTACTAATAACCACAAAGCCAAAAACACACAAGCATAGCTGCAAATGGCAATTTCCCTGGACAGGGGGACCATAGAGCACCAACATTCCACAATCCTCTTTTCAGCGACGCCACAAAGATACCTTTAATTTTAGCCACCTCCCCCCCCCTCCCCCCTCCCCCCCCTCAAAACAAAGGCTGTCAAAACGAAGAACTTAAAATTGCTAACGCTGGAAATGCTACGAAACCCTGCAAATACCAGTGAATTCGTCCAAGGGCACAAAAACAGAGCTCTTA